AATTTATAAAAAGGAAATATATTAAAAAATTAATTATTTTAAAAACAAATATAGAGTTTTAATGTATTAAATTATATTTTTTTCATAAAAAATATAATTAATGAGATTTAGAATTTCATAAACATATTTATTATAAAAAAAATATTAATATCATTTTTCATTAATATTTCAATTTTATATTTTGTTAAGTTCAATGTTGTTCAATATAAAATTTAAATAGATTTAGACAAAAAATATTCTAAAATTCTTTTGCGGTATACAAAAATATTAAAAAATAAATTTTTTTTTATCTATTTTTTTTCAAGTTTATTCATTTTTTCTTTCATTAGATTTTTAGAAAGAAATAAATTACATACATAATTAATACATAAATTAAATACATATACCATCTAATTTCTAGTCAAATTATTATATATATTATTATATATATATATTGCATTTTAATTTTGCTTGTTAAGTCATTATTATCCTATTTATTTCTTAGCAATATTTTCATAAATAGAACTATTAATTATACTTTAATAAATAATAAGTTCATCTAATAAAAAATAAATACAAATATCTTAGTTCTATTTATTTTACATCAATATAATATTCCTGTTATAAACTATTTTACAAATTAATCAATTTCAGTCTTATCCTTGATTAGAATATAAATCACCTTTATATCATCTTTTTATAAATTTGAGTTCTTTATTACTTTATGGTAATAAGAATTATTAAATTTATTAGAATCATGCAAATTGAATTCTTTTATATAGATAAAAACTGCATTTATAAAAGAAATATATAAGAAAATTTTGTAAATTTCGAAATATTATGCGATCGTACTATCGGCTTAGTCTTTTTTGAATGTTTGTAAATATAAGATATCTTATTATATTAGGTTTATGATTAATTTCCATATTCTTATGATACATATGATACACATATTATATAGATTTGTATATTTTATTATATTTAGAGAATTAAAAACACAATTGAAAACATTTTTTTGTCTATAAATGTATAATTATAAATATTTTATATGTTGTTGTATATATGATTATATATACAACATATATATAATTATACATATATATGTTGTATATATAATTATAAAAAAAATATACAATACATTGTAAGCAATCCTCATAAATGTAATTTATTACTATTATTATTTAATGAATTTTAAATAACTGTAAATATAAAATGCAATCATTTAATAGTGTAATGATAATATATATAAGATAATAATTAATTACACTATTTTTTTATTTTCAGAAAATGGTTTCATCTAATCAACCGGTAAGAACAATGCTAATAGTAAATTGTCTTCCATTTTGTATTATTTAATGACCTCATTGTTTATTTTTCATGTATAATATTACTTTTTTCAAAAAAATGATTAATATAAATTGAATGGCACAATTTATTTATAGGTACGTAAAGTATTGTGTTTTTGTAATTTTTTTATATATTTTATTAAAATCTTTTATAACTTATTATTTATAATTATAATATATAAATTTTAATATAAGCTCAGTAATATTACATTATTATTATATCATATGATTTTTGTAACAATAGCAAAAATTTTGAGCAAGATAAAATCTCAAACAGACACCATACTTTCTGCATACAGGGGTATGGTCGATTTTAGAGGTACAATATAAACGTAACGTTTTCTTTAATAATTGGTATTTATAAATGCATGTATTATTAGTAAATAAAGAGTTATGTCAATAAGTATTATTAATTGTATATTTCAATTTTACAGAGAAAGACAAAAATATTTGTGGGTCGGTTACCAGAAAATTGTCGCAACGATGAGTTGCGACAATTATTTTTACGATTTGGTGAGGTAACGGAATGCGATGTCATGAATCGGTATGGGTTTGTCCACATGGCACGTGAGGAAGATGCAGCTGCAGCAATCAAAGCTCTTCACAATTCCAACTTCAAAGGGGCAACAATCAACGTGGAACAATCTACGGGCAAATCACGTGGCGGAGGAGGAGGACGCAGGGATGGAGACAGAAGAGGTGGACCAGTGAGAGGTGGTAGGGGAGGACGAGACGGTGGTAGAGACGCTCGTCCTGGACCATACAATGATAGAAGAGGTTAGTAAATTTATTTTTATAATATTCTATTTTTATATAATTATTTTCTCATTGTAATTATAATTTTTAATATTATTCATTATAAGAAATTGTTCAATATTTAAAAATATAATACATTTAAAAATTTATATAAAAAAATATTAATATACTTCTTATATATATATAAAAAAATATTAAATATATAAATAAATATACTTTATATCAAATTTAATAATTTTCTTAAATATTATTAATATATACGAAATTAATATAACAATATTAATTTATAATATAGATAGATTTAATACAATAATATAATACAATGAGAAAATAATAAATTATAAAATAAATATATTTTTATAATACAGACTAAAATACAAATTGGATATCTCGGCATGCTTTACAGTTCTTCCGATCCAACTCGTTGGTTACGATGGATCTGCTGCAGGTGGCGTCGCAACGGGGTACACCGATTACAATCGTGGCGCTGGAGACTTTAGTGGACGTGGAGCAGACTTCGGGACTGGATACACTGATCGTGGAGCATATGGTCAAAATGTGGGAAGCGCGGCAATGGGTTACACTTCTACGGCACCTGGAATGGGAGGAGGATATGGACCAGCAACTGGAGCTGTTGGAGGATATGGACCAACTGGAACAGCTGATTATGGTCGAACCGACTACAGTCGCGCTGCAGATTTTGGAGCTAGAACGGATTATGGTAATGGTGATTAAAATATTTTAATTATTTTAATTATTTTATTTGTAGAGATATTTTTGAATATTAAATATTTAACAAATAAGTTAATTCAAGTAATAATAAAAAATATTAATATAATAACATAAAATATTATTTGTAGTAGTTGGAGGTGGAATGACTGGGGATTTTAATCGAGGTGCACCAGGTCCAATGGATTATGGACGTACAGATAATTTTGGTGCAAATCGTACAGTTGATTATACAGCTAGAAATGATTATGATCGAGCTGCAACTGGGCCTATGAGAAATGGTGGTGGTGCAGTTGCCACTACTGGGTATGGAACGGGTTACACAGATGTAGGATATGATGAAAGTCATTGGTAATATATTTTATTTATCACATTAGATTTTATTTTATTGCATTTTTACTAATTTAATAAATTTAAAGAAAATAATAAGTTAAATATTAAAGATTCGAATTAACAATTAGTAATAAATTTTCTTTTTATAAGATTCTATATGTGTATTCTATGTGTGTAAAAAACACATTTTTAATATTTGAGAAATTTATATAAATCTTGACAATTTAAAAAAATATTTATAATAGAAGAATAAATATTTTACAGCATTTTAAAAACATTTTAACGATAGTATAACGATTATGAATTGAAACTTTATTTTTATTCTAACCTGTAATGCTTATACTAATTTAAAATTTGCAAATATAGTATATCTTGAATTAATTATGCTTGAGAAAATTTTGGTGCATTATGCAGGATAGAGTGAAAATAGGTTAATATATTCCAATTATGTATGACAGGGGTTATCCGGGCGGGCCTGGGGATATGATGGGTGGGCCCGGGGGGGTAAGTCAGGGAGCTTCAATGGCCTATGACAGGAGGGATGGTCCCCCTGTTAATGATATGCCTCCATTTAACAGGCCAATGAGTACTGGACCCAGCTACAGCACTGGGGCACCTAGTTATAGTACTGGTCCTGGACCACAAGCAGACATGTTTAGTAGAAGACCTGGCAGTGCTGTCCCCAGTGGTGGATATCCACCTGTTGGTGGAGGGTAAGTAAAAAAATTATTCATTTTATTATCTAAAATAAATAATTTTATATATTAAATGATATTAATGATTTTTATTTTATAAAATCAAACATATTATTATGAAATTGCTTGTTTTTTTTATTTATATTCTTTATTTATAATTTCATGATAAATATATTATTTATAATTTCATATAAAATATTATATAAAATCATGATGTACATAATTATACATAATATTTCATAAAGTTAATATGAAACTTCAGGAATATATAGTAATATTTATTAAAGTAATTAAAAAATCATAATAAATATGAATCCAAATATCAATAATTTATACTTATATTTTTTCTAAGAAGTTATATTTTCAATTATACATATGTAACAAAGTAAAATATTTTATTGCGTATTCATATGAAATTCAAAGGTCATTGCTTATTTAATAGTATCGATATTCGTTCGCATCGATTAAATATTTTGCCGATTAAAATAAATTTTTTATTATTGACACAATAACAATAAGATATTCATTTTATTTTATTACGAAATATATATAATATATATATAAATATATAAATTTTGTTCATATATAGATAACTGAAAATTTTGTTTGCCATTATTGTGCTGTTAAATGAAGAATATATTGATATCTTAATGTTGTTCAAACATTGTATTGTTAGATAAGTAATGACCTTAAAGGTCAAAAAAAAAAAATACAAATACAATATATACTATGTTTCATTCAGCAACAGTACAGAAGAATTTATATATTCTTTGTCATTTTAATATTAAAAAAATATTCATCAATATGTTATTTATTTATTTATTTAACACTTACATTATTTAATAACAATTCAATGATTCAATGGTTCTAACCAATGATATCCTTCTTCTATTAGATTAACTATATACTAATAGACTATTAGACTAGGCTACATACTATACATATACTTTAAAATATGAAATATATACGTATGTATGTTTTGTATGGCGCGCGTGTATCCTTTTTTATTTTTTTATTTTATCATCCTTCTTCGTATAAAAATTCATCTTTCTATAAATTTCAAAAAATTTATAGAAAGAAAAAATATTATTATTTTTCTATTTGAATTATTATATTTTTAATTATATTTAGCAATAAAATCGAATTAAATTTTATAAACAAAAAATCAGATAAATTTTTATTTTCTCCAAAAAAAATTTTATTTGATGATTCGCAATGCTTTTTACAAAAATATTCCAATTATTATTTCAAGTTATTATTATATACTAATATAATATATACTATATAGTATATACTAATATACTAATTAGAATATATAATTATATCATGAATTTGATTATCAGTTAAAATTATTTATATAAAAAAATACAAATTTAAATTTTAATAAAAATGATTTGTTTATATTTTGCTTAAAAATATGTTGGAATTTAATATTAAGAAAATTAGCATTTTTTGAAATTTTTAATCACCTGTTTTTGTTTTTTTTTTTTTTTGTTCGGAAAAAACATATTATATATTAATATTTGTTGTTAATTATTACAATAAATTCAATTTTTATTTCAGTTATACCGAAGGGTACGACAGACCAGATGCATATGGTCCTCCACGTGGTGGCGGACGGTAAGTCATATTATTATTATTATTATTTAATATTTACACTTATTACACCAATGCGTTTTTCAAAGTGACATTGATCACACAGCGTTAAAGAGCGATATTAACTTGCGAGTAATCGTTCGTTGTTTAGGCGACCACGCTCTTTTTGCGCAACGTTATTCAGTTTGATTGAACACTGATATCAGTGTATTTATATTTTGCGGATCGAGATAGGCTAAACATTTTCTGTAAAAGTATAAGATGTGACACTCAGCGCGAAATCAATATTTCTTGATCATAGAGAGCGTATATTTGTGCATACAATGGTACAAGATTAATTTTTATTGTTGATAAAATATGAATAAATTATTCTGCGACTTTTCTAGTGTTGAGTGTAAAAGAGAACAGAGGTAGTTGTACATTTGAATATTTATTAATTATTACTCATATATTAATTGACTTTTTAATGCAATAATATTAAAATAGTAGTATATTTTATTTATAGATGTATTATAGATAAATATGTTTCTTAATATAATATTTTTATGACGAAATACAAATCTTTACAATTTATTTATATATTAATATTATTATATATTAAATTCAAGAAACAGACTTTAGATTTTTTTAAAATTCAGTTTAAGTATTTTAATATACGTACATACAAAAATTATTAAGTTATCAAAATAAAGTGTGAGATATATGAAAATTAAAAAATTATTGTATAAATATATTATAATCAGAGAAATAAGCAAAAAATTTTGTCTTTGAATTATCTTATCAAAGAAAGTAATTACGTCAAGTTTTAATTTTTTATTTCGATTGTAAGGAAAGAAAAAAAAAAGAAAAAAAAATTGGTTGTCATTGACATCAATTGAATATCTATATTTTTAAATAATTTTAATAGTTTGAAATTTTGTTTCAATTTTGTTTCATCTATAAATAATTGATATTTTATTCAATTACTAGTATTTTTTTTTAACACAATTATAATAATATAATATAATAAATTCGTTGAAATTTATAAAACTTATAAATTTATAAAATATAAAATTTATGTACTTTCGCTATGAAAAAATGAATAAGATTTTTAAGACATTAAATTATTTTTAATTGGAAATTATGATGATATTATAATGTTATTATATAAATTCAAACATTAAATAAGTTAAATTCAAACATTATGTAAAAGAAGAATATTATTAGATTAGTATTTCGTATTTGTGAAAAAAAAAAATCACTTTTGCCTAATGCTACCTCTTTTCTTTTATGTACTCTGCGGTAAAAGTCCGCGAATTCAGCGTGTACGTGATTCAAGATATTTGCGATTAATCGAACAACTCGGTTCGGTAGATGGTGAAAAATAAACCGTAATGCGTTACGACACACTGCGCCGTTAAACGACATGAATTTCGAAGATGCACGCCATCGATCTCTCTGTGCCTCGAAACCGCATCGGCCTTAGCTTTTTTAAAAAAAAATATTCTACGTCGAAAAATGCGTATTACGTTTCGAGATATAAACGAGAGATGAAGACAAAGTCCGGGTTGATTGTTTATAAAAATTGCGTTGCGTTATTTTGCTATTGCGCCTCTTGTCAACATAATTGCAAGTGATCAAGCAGCTAGCAGAACAAATTTTCAACGATCATTCAGAAATTCTTTTTTCGAATGTTCAAACTTCTGAAATATTCATGAACGTTTAAACGAACGTCATCGATAATTTTTTGCGACAATAGCGAGAAATACTTGAATGTGCCGGTAAAAGTTCTAAACATGTGACAACTTATCAGACCTGTGCATATATATCAGAATATATTGCTTATATATGTTGTTTTCAATTCAGATATAATGATTATATTATTTATATTTGTATTTTGCTTGTAAGTTGCTTAACAATTATCGTATAACGAAATTAATGGAATATTTCATCTTCATCGAATTTCAAATTATTTAAATATTAGAAAATATTTTTTTTACATCTTTTTTTTTTATATATGCATTTTATTATTTTAAATTTTATATGATAGTAAAACATTATATATATTTTATTTAAAAAAAAGTAATATTAAAAAGTTTCTTAATACTTAACGATAGATTGTACATATATTAATTAAATTTTCAAATATGAATTAAAATTTTTATGCAATTATTTAAAAACAATATCGAAATATCTTTTTCTCTCTTTCTATATATACATATATATTATCTTTATTTGCATATTAATAGTATTATGAATGAAATAATAAATAAAAAAAATAATTTATTAAATTAATCACGTAGAAGAAGTACAAAATAATTGATAGTTCAAAAACTGTTTAGCCAGGTCTGTAAGTTGTATGTTATTCGGCAAATGTGTGTTACATGCGTTGCGAGGAGGTTCAATCGTTAAAATCAGGTATATCCATACGTGGTGTGATATTAAAAGGCGACAGTGTGAACGCGACACTGCCGTTATGTAAGAAAGAGAATGAAAAAGTATAAAAGTAAAACGTATTCGTGCATATCAGTGTTACATCTTATACTTTCCAGCTATTGTTGCGCCGAAAGGCGATGAAGAAATTAATACTGCGATTTTTCATTTTTTGACCTTTTAGCTTCCCAGGTCCGGCAGACGCGATGCCACCGAGGTACTAAAAGCGTACACTAAAGCGAATACTAAGCGCATGCGAAAGGCTCCCTTAAAAAAAAATGCCTCTTTAGTGGTGGTCATTCGCTTACGGAATCGAAAACCTAGGAACTGCCCTGCGTCCGACATACAGAGTCCATACCATTACATACGATACTATGTATAATGATATAGATATGATATAACGATATAGATACGATCTAACGTTTAACACACTAACTTAAGGTACGGTAAGAATAAGGAGCACATCAATCAGCAACATAATGAATGAATTAATGAAATAAGCAACTACGATTATTTGAAGATAAGAAAGAAGAAGATTGAATTCCTGACTGAAGTGAACTTTGTAATGTGGAATCAAGAAATTTTATATATCGTTCATTTTTTCCAGCAGATAGTGGATATATATTCTTTTTGTGCGATTTGTGTTCGTAGTTTTTTTTCCTGATATTTCCAATGTTTTTCTCTCTCTATCTCTATCTTTCTCTATCTTTTTCTCTCTCTCATAGTGGTACAACCCAATCCTAAAGGTATGGGTTGAATTATCTTTTATCTATCTTAAGTCACATGATTATTACACATTAGTAGGATAGATGATTTCGTTATAAGTTTGTAATATTTAGCATCAGCAAGATGGTGACTTAGGCTATTAAACAAAAAATGCTGTATAATCTTTTTTTTTTTTTTACACGTAAGAACTTGGATAATGTTTTAAATGTTCATTAATAAAGCAAAGAAACGTGTTTGCAGAATTTATCAATGTACCTCAACGGAATGAAAAATAAAATTCAAACGTATATGTCTTTAAGTCTCTTAGCTTGAATATTTACAAGTACATTTTCCTCGTTACAATTTCTTTATAAATACCTTATTATTCGCAAAATCTCTATGTCAAATTCTCTTATACACGCTAAATAATTAATCAAGATTTATTTTTAACTTTCGATCATTCATCATATTTTTATTTCTTTTTTAAATAAATTTTTTTTTTACCAAAATTTCTTCTACTCTTTATTGAAATATGCGACATCGATTAATGGATACATTAAAAGGAGACCATCGAAGAAATTTATATACAAGATCAACTGAAACATGATTTATTCCTTTCTCGTTCTTCGGCAAAACAATCTAGGTATTATTAGCGCGCGTTTATACGCGATATACATATGATAGTTATTATAATGACGTTTTGCATTGTAAAATTGTTCTTTCTCTCCTTCCTTTCTTTCTTTCTTTTTTTCTTTCTTTCTTTCTTTCTTTTTCTCTCTTTTTTCTTTTTTCCTTTCTTTCTTTCTTTTGTCCAAACTTCAATATAGGGATATTGAATATTATTAAACAAATATATTAATGAGCATGCAATATTAAATACAAATATATTTTAAATCAAGATCAAGTGTTTATAATATTACTATTATTTTACATTACTAGTAATTAATTAAAATAATTAATAGATTTCATATCATTCAATAATTAAATATGTGCAAAAATTTTGTATTAAATATATAATTTCATGCATCACGTACTTTTTTATTGTTAAAATTTAATGAAATTTATTTTTTGAAAAAAATTTTTTTATTATATGTGCTTATAAGTAAAAATGTCTATTATTAAATTTAATTATTTGTTATGTCTCAAATAAATAATAATATCAAAAGTGAAAATATATTAAATTTCTATGAAGATATTATAAATTTCTTGATCTCGATCATTAAAATTAAAGTAGTGATTGCAAATAAAGTAAATTGCAAAAAATTTTCATGTTATTTTTATATACAATATGGTATTTTAAGGAACTTCAAAATGTATATAAAAGGATATGTAAATTTATAAACTTATTAAACTTTTAAAAATAGAAAAACATAAGAAATGCAGAACGTCATTTAACTTTTGATGGTATCTACATGACTTGTACTTAGACAGCGTAATCATGAATTGTGCGACGAATTGCGCGTAAATACAGCGCACTCTAATCCTGGTGGCATATCAACGTCAAATTATTGAAGAGACGATATCAAGTCGCTTACCTATGCGTGTGGCCTATAGATGCGACTCTGGTGAATAATGCAAGCTTCGATTTGCGGATAACGTGCTACAAATTGCGTTTGCGCTCAAAACTGGCGGTGCTTTGAATTTAAACAGAAGGTATGTTCAACGCGTGCGCCATTTTACTCTTTGCTCGTTAAAGCAAAAAAAAAAAGAAAAAAAAAAAAAAAAAAAAAAAAAAAAAAAAAAAAAAAAAAAAAAAAA